TAGGGCATTGATGCCACTGTGGTCCTTGTCCCAGTCAGGCTAACGTGTCCGCGCCACTGTGCTGCGAGGGGCGGGGGGGACCATTGCTGCACATAGGAAGCTGCATATGGGCCAGGGCAGAAGCCGCATTGCAGTAGAAGACCCTCCCTTGCTTCTCAGGTCACCCTCAGCAGCGAGATATCTTCCAGGACGAACTCCTGTAGAAAATGTGGGGACAGTGTTCAGTATAGGGGTCCCCTGCAGCTGTTGGCTCTCCCCAAGGCACAGAAACCCAGAGGACCGTGAAACAATCAGTCCTCCTTGACCCTGTGCTTACTCACCATTTTGGGGCTCCCATGGGTTATGTGCGCTCGCTTTGGGATGGGCAAATTATGCTATTGTGTAGACTGTGCTTACCCTCCTTAAGTATGGGGGAATCATTGCTCTCTCTGGTGTGAACAATGCTGCCTCTGTTAAGTGTTGCATTTTGCCTTTACAGATGCAACCTTGAGATCTCAGTCGTCCATGTTATCACTTGCCGAAAGAATCCAAAGAATTAGGAAGAGGCCACATAGAAGCAAAGAAGACATGCTGCATGAAGTAATGCAGCAGTCCCTTAACGAGAATCTAAAAGCGCAGGAGTGGAGGGAGAGTGAAAGGAGGATCCGCCAGCAGAATGAGGAGCTCTGGCAGCAAAGCACGGATCAGCTGATAAGCATCATGCAGCACCAAGTGGACTCGATCCAGGCGCTTGTAGCCATGCAGGTGGAGCACTACCGCCGCCCCCCCCCTCCCCGCAGCCCTTGTCCCAAAACTCTTTCCCTTGTGCCTCCATGTCACCTCCAACCCACTTTCCCCAACATCCGGGTTCTTATCGCCACCAACTGTGGACAGACTGCAGCGCTTTCCCTACTCCGCTCTCCGAAGGCTGGTTTAACTCAAAGCACTCTACATTTGCAAGTGTAGCCATGCCCTAAATGAATTCTTTGCATCAGTCTTCTGGTGCATCAGTAACAGGCTTAAAGACAGGAAACGAAGGGTAGGACTAAATGGTCAGTTTTCACAATGGAGAGAGGTAAAGAGTGGGGTTCCCCTTAGATCTGTGTTGTGATGGGCTGGGTTTGGTACTGAATTTCTTTTTCTGTTCCTGCCACCCTCTGTAGGTTGCCAGCCTCACTAGGTGAGTCTTTGGTAGCACCGCCCAAGTCACACAGTCAAAAATAAATTCCTTCCAGGGTAGCAAAGAGTTCACCAAACTGTCTGTCTTCACCAGGGTCTTCAACCCTGCCTCTGGGCCCTTTAAATCCATCCCTTTGCTTGGGCTTCTAAACAAGCCTTGGCCCCTTCTTGGGTTAGGCCACTTTGCTGGTGGGGGAACCCGGGTCCAGCCCAGGGAACCTCTCCTCAATAGCCATGCACTGCCTCCTTTAATCAGATGATGCTGTTTTCTCTTGGCTTCTTCCCACCTGGTCTCTTTCCTTTCATCTGTTACCTTAGGGTTACAGTTCTCAGGTCCTCTCTCTCCCAAGACTAGGAAATACAGCCAGTCAAGCTCCTTCAGTAGAGAGGGAGCACCCTTCTTCATCTCTCTGGTCCCAGCCAGGAACCGACCTGCTAAGGCCCTACAGCTCCTTTGATCTGAGCCTGCGGGGCTCTGATGGGCTGAACAGAAGCAGCCATTCTAGGCAGGTCTGGAGATCCAACCCTCACCGCTCGTTTCCTGGGGGGGGTGTAATAGGACCACGGTCGCCTCCAGCAGAGGGCCATGAAGGCCTGGTACACCCCATCACAGCTGTTCAACATATTTATAAATATGATCTGTAAAAAAGGGTGAACATTGAGTTGGCAGAATTTGCAAATGATACAAAATTACTCAAGATAGTTAAGTCCAAAGTTGCCTGGGAAGTGTTACAAAGGGATCTCACTAAACTGGGCAACACAATGGCAGAGGAAATTCAATGCTGACAAGTAATGTGCAAAGTAATGCACATTGAAAAAAGTAATCCCAATTATACATAAAAAAAGATGGGGTCTAAATTAGCTGTTACCACTCAAGAAAGAGATCTTGGAGTCATTGTGAATAGTTCTCTGAAAACATCCACTCAATGTGCAGCGGCAGTCAAAAAAAGCAAACAGAATGTTGGGAAACATTAAGAAAGGGGTAGATAATAGGACAGAAAATATCATGTTGCCTCTATATAAATCCATGGTACGCCCACATCTTGAATACTGCATGCAGATCTGGTCACTCCATCTCAAAAAAGATATATCAGAATTAGAAAAGGTGCAGGGAAGGTCAACAAAAATGATTAGGGATATGGAACAGCTTCCATACAAGGAGAGATTTAAAAGACTGGGGCTGTTCAGCTTAGAAAAGAGACGACTAAGTGGGGGATATGATAGAGGTCTATAAAATCATGAATGGTGTGGCAAAAGTGAGTAGTAAAGTATTATTTACCCCTTCACGTAACACAAAAACCAAGGGTCACCCAATAAACTTAATAGGCAGCAGGTTTAAAACAAACAAAAGGAAGGCTCTGTGTGATTCTACAGCTGGGTGTGTCTCTACCAATGTGTGTGTTGGAATGGGGCTTGAGAGCCTTTCACAGCAGCACAGAGTAAGGGAAACCTAGGCTAGTTGGACAGGCAGGCTCAGTGGGACCCCAGCACATCTGGTGGCACCGAGAAAGCGGGGTCCAACCCGTCACAAGATCTACCATTGGCTATTAGCCAAGATGCTCAGGGACAGAATCTCATGCTCTGGGTGTCAGTAAACCTCCTAATGCCAGAAGCTGGGACTGGACGGCTGGATCACTCAACAGGGGATGAATCACTCAAAATTGCCCTGTTCTGTTCATTCCCTCTGAAGTATTTGGCACAATCCATTGTCAGAGACCAGATTCTGGGCTAGACGGACCATTGGCCGCTCTTAAGGTTCTCTTAGGAGAAATGGATGACACAAGCCTGCAAGGCCCTGAATATTGGCTAACTGGTCAGGTCAAAGGGGCAACACTAATGTGAGGAGTGGGATAGTTTCCAAGGAGAGAAATAAGCTGGTATTCCTGTTAAACTAAGATGGAACAAATAATGGAGGTGCTCTCAGAACTCAAAGATATCCAAAAGAAGTTAAAACAGGTTCTGGAAATTTCTCAGAAGGATTTAAAGAAACTTATGGAGGTTTCCCAGAAAGGACTGAGAGACAACCTGTGGCCAGAGATGAAATCTCTGTTGGGACAGCAGCTATCAAGTGTCTGGGCAGATTTGGGGTAATTTGTACCTCCATCACTAGACTGAAATGTCATGTGGTACCAAGGATATGTCAACACGTTTATCTGGATCAACCACACTTGTAATAGGTTTCAGAGTAGCAACCGTGTTAGTCTGTATCCGCAAAAAGAACAGGAGTACTTGTGGCACCTTAGAGACTAACAAATTTATTAGAGCATAAGCTTTCGTGGACTACAGCCCACTTCTTCGGAAGCATACAGAGCAAGGCACTGCATTTAGCCGTATGGAGTGGAAATCCATCAAGCTCTGTATGCTTCCGAAGAAGTGGGCTGTAGTCCATGAAAGCTTATGCTCTAATAAATTTGTTAGTCTCTAAGGTGCCACAAGTACTCCTGTTCTTTTTGCACACTTGTAATGTTATCAAAAAAAGATATCAAGTTAGTTTGAGAGGCTCTATCTTCCATAAACCCACATTGATTGGCATTAACTGCATTACCCTTCTTTAATTCTTTATGAATCGAGTCCCGTCTCAACTGCTTCATTGTCTTGGCCAGAAATGATGTCATGCTGACAGGCCTGTAATTAGCCAGGTCATCCCATTTACCCTTTTTTAAAATTGGCACAACATTAGCTTTCTTCCGGTCTTCTGGAATTTCCCCAGTGCTCCAAGACTATTGAAAATCAACATTAATGGTCCTGCAAGCTCCTCAGACAACTCTTTTAAATCTCTTGGATGCAAGTTAACTGGACCTGCTGATTTTAAAGATGTCTAACTTTAGTAGCTTCTGTTTAACATCTGCTAGTGATGGGAAGAATGTTATCTTCACCATATGATAAGACTGTGACAGACTGACAATATCTATAATATACTTAACAAACCTTGTGGAATTAAGATTAACTTTAATTCAATAAAGTGTAACATTATTGAATTAGGGTTAACACCTTTGCAGTTCATTGTATTACAAATGCAAACATTTACACAGTACTGTGAAATTGTATGGAACTTCTTTAGTAGAATGACAAGATTAATAAAATTAATACAATTTCTGGAAGTTCAAAGGTCTTTCTGGAACAATAGGTATGAAATGAATTTCCTTAGGAAATACCTTGAGGTGAGGGGAATGCAAATCCTCCCCTTCTGAAGCCAATCTTTTGAAGATATGCCCCAAGGAAAGAGAACCTTTGTATACTAACTACTTGCTTCTGGAAACTCCAGTTCAAAGAGCCCTGGAGTGTATAAAAAGGAAACTGAACATGTTATGAGTGTGCTTGTTTCAAGCTGAAGATCTGATGAACTTGTAGCCAAAAGGTGTCGCTCAGGTGGGGTATTAAAAGTCTGCACCTGAGCATTTTCCATGGTTCCTAACTTTCCTAACTTCTGATTAATATTCATTAACAACTAAAACCCCATCTTGTTCTTTATCTGTTAGGACACTGATCCATAAGCAAATTAAAGACGTATTATTCTTCCCACAAGACTTCAAGAAATCCAATAAGTTTAGAAAATGAAGGTCTGATAGCCCTGGCCAAACCCAATCATAGTGCACATCTGAACTTCTCGGTCATACAGTTCTGCTGATGCACCACACATCCAACCCACAGACCCCAGACCCAGACCCACTATTACAGTCCCGGTCTCCCCATCCCATCGCTCGGCAGGAGCCCCATCTCCACCACCTCTCAAGGTGACAGCAAATGTAAGGATGGGGGCTGAAGTGAGAAGCAGGTGCTCAGGCTGCCCCTATTCTTCCCCTCTCCTCCTGTATTTCAAAACTTCCCAGAGGAATGCTCACCAGCTCAGAGTCCTCCCTGTGCTGTCTCTCTTCTCCACTCCGACGTGTCAGCTGCTCTTCTGCTCTCTGGAACCAACAATATCAAACAGAATTCATCTTTACAATCAAGCTAAGAGTCATTATCATTGGCTCATTTCACCATAAGACCGACGGGCAGGGCTGTGCTTCCCTTGTCTACCTTTCCCTCTCTGGGACCTGTTTCCAAATGCGGCATGGCACCGAGAGGAAAGCTGGTGCAGCTCTCTACTTCAGGCTGGAGGGAGGCGGGTGAGACCCTCACACAGGATTTTGGCATGGCTGAGGTGATGGGCTGCTATGGTAAAAGGGACATTATACACAGGCCTCTTCTGCCCGTCCCACTGAGTAGCCAATGCTGGCACCCTTCAGAAGGTGGATGTCTCAACCAGTCCCACTCTGCATCTGCCAGGGGAATAGTTGTATTAGAGAAAGTTGGGGCTCAGAGTGTCCAGGCCTTATCCCCTCACTTCACCTTATAAAGGAGCTCCTTGAGCAAAGGGTTGTAACCACGTACCCTGAAGTGATATATTATAGGAGCCTCAGAAAGTTGCAATTGAAGGGGCAGGAACTGGAGGGTTCAGAGGATATGGTCCTGTTGGTCTAATTAGAGCTGCTTTTGGCTAATTTTCAAAGGTAAACCATCCAGAAGCAAGTTTGATGGATGAGGGGCACTCCCGGTGCTGGTGGGTGGCAGCTCGTGAACACTAGGCTGCCCATGTAGCTAACACCAGTGGTGCTGACTTGGCAGGGCTCAGATATCGCACTGCCTAGTGCGAGAGGCAGCTCTCTGGGCCAAGACTGAAAAGGACAAAAACTGAGCGTGGCCCTTAAAGACAGCAGCTCCAACTGACCCTCACAGGGGAGCCAGTCTGGAGCTCATTCCTTCTCAGAGGAGACTCTGAGCTCTATTCCTGATTCTGCCACAGCCTCCATGTGACACCTTGGGCAAGCCACTTCATCTCTCTGGGCCTAGTGCTAATAGCCCTTTGTTCCTCTCCACCTTTGTCTGTCTTGTCTATGTAGATTGTCAGCTCTCCATGTCACAGACTGTCTTCTGCTATGTGTCTATACAGCAGCCAGCCAATGGGTGACCTCAGCTGGAGCTTTGAGACACTACAAACAAATAAAAACAAATGGAATAATTCCATTTGCTCTGTCCTGTAACTCACATGGGTTGGGCAACTTCCCCTAGGTCTAGTACACAGGGAGAAGGGTCAGCCCACAGGGAGGGAGATATACTGACCAAGTTTGAAAGGGGCTTCCCACCAGGGCTCCATGATGCTTTCCCTAGGGTCTCCCCACCCCATGGTGAGGGCCAAGGGCTTGCAGGTGTGGTCAGGAATTATAGGGCTTCCCTAGGGCTTGCAGGTGACTATGGTATTAGGCACCCATCACTGCAGTGGAGGCCATGGCTTGGCCCATCAAATCATGATGGTTTGACTCAGATAGAATTGCTGTGGTTTCATCTCTGAGGGCTTTAGCAGCTCCATCTTGTTTATTGGGAAAGTGCCTGGGACACTGGTTCTCCATTTGTGAGATAACTCCCTTCTCTTCGTGTGTCATTATATAATGCCTGCATCTGTAACTTTCACTCCATGCATCTGAAGAAGTGGGTTTTTTACCCACAAAAGCTTATGCCCAAATAAATCTGTTAGTCTTTAAGGTGCCACCGGACTCCTTGTTGTTCTTGCCTGGGGCAGTGGGCTAGTTACACAACAGCCCAGCAACCCCTGCTATGTCCCCTGTAGCGGGAGGGGGATGCCAGCCTGAGCCCCAAGGTTTGTGTTCAGCCTAGCTCAGACCCATTGAACCGCATGAGGCCGACCGCCGGCGCTGAACCCACGTAATGGGGGTTTTACCTTCTGGGCTTTGTACAGCACCTCCAGGATATTGCTGAGCAGCTCAATGCAAGCCTCCTCCTCCTCCCCCGTCTCAATCAGCTCCCGAAGGATGGGGATGGTAGTATGCAGCAGCATCTCTCGACACTCTGCACAGACAGACAGAGATTAGTTGTGGGGTGGGAGGGGGGCAAACACAGACACCTCCCCGTCCTGGGGAGGGAGTGGGGCAGACGTTCAGGCTCAAGTTGGAGCCCAGGCTCTGCGACCCTTCCCCTTGTGGGTCCCAGAGCCTGAGCCCAAAGGTCTCCACCGCAATTAAACGGCCCCACAGCCCAAGCCCCACAAGCCTGAGCCAGCTGACATGGGCCAGCTGTGAGTGTTTAATTGCACTGTAGACACGGCGAATTCACCACATCCCTAGGGAAGCTGTTCCAGTGGTTAATTCCCCTCAGTGTTAAAAATGTGCCTCTTATTTCTATTCTGAATTTGTCTGGTTTCAGCTTCCAGCAATTGGACCTTGTTCTGCCTTTGTCTGCTAGATCAGAAATCTTCTGCTCATCTAAGTACTTACAGGCCCTGACCAAGTCACCTCTTGTCTTGGATAAACTAAATAGCCTGAGCTACTTCAGCCTCTCATTCAGAGGTGAGACTTCTGATCATTCTCATAGCTCTTTTCTGAACCCTTTCCAGTTTGTCAATGTGGACACCAGAACTGGAAACAGCATCCCAGAAATGGTCTCACTGCTGCAAGCCAGTGGTCTGAATGAGCTGTCTCCCGCCATCTACTGAAGAACTGGAGGAAAAGATCTAATGAGCAGACACACCTGCTTTGCCAGGGTGATCAGCTTTGGCTGTATTGTGTTAACATTCACTTAAACCTTGAAGGCGGGGTAATGAAATGTTATCCTTATTGTCTGACTAAAGGGGGGGGGGCAGAAAAATGGTTACTCACCTTCTCATAGCTGCTGTTCTTTGAGATGTGTTGCTCACATCCATTCCAATGGGGCGTGCGCCGTGTGCACATTCATCGGAAGATGTTTCCCCTAGTGGTACCTGTCGGGTCAGCTGTGGAGCTCCCTGGAGCGGCGCCTTCATGGCACTGGATATATGCCCCTGCTGACCTGGCCCCTCCTCAGTTCCTTCTTGCCGGCTGCTCCGACAGCAGGGTGGGTTTGGAATGGATGTGAGCAACACATCTCGAAGAACAACAGTTACAAGAAGGTGAGTAACCGTTTTTTCTTCTTCTAGTGCTTGCTCATATCAATTTCAATTAGGTGACTCCCAAGCCCTACCTAGGCGGTGGGGTCGGAGTTACGGAATCGCTGACTGGAGCACCCCTATGCCGAATGCTGCATCATCTCTGACGTGCTGGATGATGGCATAATGAGAGGAACGTGTGGACTGAGGACCATGTTGCTGCCCTGCAGATCTCCTGTATCGGAACCTGGGCCAGGAATGCTGCTGAAGACGCCTGCGCCCTTGTGGAGTGTGCCATAAGGGCCAGGGCTGGAACCTTGGCCAGCTCATAACACGTCCTGATGCAGGATGTGATCCATGATGAGATCCTCTGAGATGAGACCAGGAGCCCTTACATCCTGTCCACAATCACCACAAACAGCTGGTTCGACTTCCTGAATGGCTTCATGTGCTTCATGTAAAAGGCCAGCGCCTGCCAAACACCCAGAGAGTGGAGCCTCTGTTCTTGGACATTAGCGTGAGGCTTAGGGAAGAAGACAGGCAGAAAAATGTCCTGGTTGGTGTGAAAATGTGACACCACCTTGGTAAGGAAGGCCGGGCGAGGTCTGAATTGTACCTTGTCCTTAAGGCAACCTTACGACAGGTAGAGAAGGGACCAAGTCATCAATGGTTCGAAAGGGGGCCCTGTTAGCCTGGAGAGGACCATGTTAAGGTCCCACTCAGGGAGCGGTAGTCTAATTTGTGGGTGTAACCGCTCCAGGCCCTTGAGGAAACGGGCAACCATAGGGTTGGTGAAGACTGAACATCCGGCCGCTCCTGGGTGGAAGGCCAAAATGGCTGCGAGGTGCACCTTGATGGATGATGCTGCGAGACCGTGCTGTTTCAGGTGCAGCAGGCACTCCAGGATGAGTAGTATGGGTGCCTGGAGTGGAAGTGTGCGATGCTGAGCACACCAGAATGTGAACCTTTTCCACTTTGCTAGGTATGTGGCCCTAGTGGAGGGTTTTCTGCTGCTGAGTAGGACCTCTCTTACCGGGTCCGAGCCCAGGAGCTCCATGGGGTTTAGCCATGAAGCTTCCAGGCTGTGAGATGGAGGGACTGGAGGTCAGGGTGATAAAGACGACCGTGGTCCTGAGTGATCGGGTCCGGGAAGGGTGGCAACGTGATCAGGGTGTCCACTGACAGCTCCAAGAGCGTGGTGTACCAGTGTTGTCGAGGCCACGCTGGTGCCACCAGAATTAACTCCGCCCTCTCTCTGCGGACCTTGAGCAGGACCTTGTGCACGAAAGGGATCAGGGGAAAGGCGTAGAGCAGGCGGCCTCCCCCGGGTAGCAGGAACGCATCTGTGATCGAGCCTGGGCTGTGTTTCTGGAAGGAGCTGAACTTGGGCACTTTCTGTTGCTCTGGATGGTGAATAGTCGACCTGGGGACACCCCAACTTTTGGAAGATGGAGTGTATGACATCTGGGCGGAGGGACCACTCGTGATTGTGGAATGATCTGCTGAGGTGGTCCGCCAGTTTGTTCTGCACTCCTGGGAGATATGACACCTCCAGGTGAATGGAGTGGGCTATGCAGAACTCCCATAGCTGGAGGGCTTCCCGACAGAGAGGGGAGGAGTGAGCCCCACCCTCCTTGTTGATGTAAAACATGGCGGTGGTGTTGTCTGTCATAACTGCCGCACTCTGTCCTTGTAGTTGGGCCAGTCACACCGCCCTCAGCTCCTTGATGTTGATATGGAGCAAAAGCTTGTCCTGCGACCACAGGCCCTGCGTTTGGAGGTCTCCCAAGTGTGCTCCCCATCCCAGACAGGATGCATCCATTACCAGGGACAAGGAGGGCTGGGGGCTGTTGAAGGGGACTCCCTTGCACACTGCCTGAGGGTCGAGCCACCATCGGAGGGACTCGAGCACCTGCTGAGGCATGGTGACCACTGAGTCCAGGCTGTTGTGCCCGGGCGATAGGCTGAAACGAGCCATGCCTCCTGCAAAGATCTGAGCCTCAGTCGGGCATGCCAGATCATGTAAGCGCAGGCTGCCATGTGGCTGAGGAGACTCAGGCATCCCCGTGTGGTAGTGGTCAGGTGTCACGTGAGGCCTTGAATAATGTCTGTCATCGCCTGGAATCGGGCCTGTGGCAGAAACGCTCTTGCCTGAACCGAGTCCAGCACCGCCCCGATGAACTCTAGTCTTTGGGAGGGTGACAAGGTTGACATGTTCACGTTGAGGAGGAGTCCAAGTGTCTCGAAAGTGGATCTGACCAATTGGACCTGAGACTCTACCTGCTCCCTGGAGAGCCCCCTGAGCAGCCAGTCATCGAGGTAGGGGTATACCTGCACCTGTCTCTTGCGAAGGAAGGCTGCTACGACTGACATGCACTTGGTGTACACTCAGGGGGCTGTCGACAGACCGAATGGAAGGACCATGAACTGATAGTGTTTGTGGTAGACAACAAACCTTAGGAATCGTCTGTGTGCAGGCCAAATAGCTACGTGGAGGTATGCGTCTTTCAGGTCAAGGGCGGCGTACCAGTGTCCCGGATCCAGAGAGTGGATAATTGTACTCAGGGAGACCATGGGGAACTTCAACTTTACCATGAATCTGTTGAGTCCTCGTGGGTCTAGAATGGGTCTGAGACCCCCCCCCCCTTTGGGGATTAGGAAGTATCAGGAATAGAATCCCTTGTCCCTGAGCTCCTGAGGAACCTCCTCCACCGCTCCCGTGGCGAGGAGCGCCTGCATCTCCTGGATAAGGAGTTGCTCCTGAGAAGGGTCCCTGAAGAGGAATGTGGAAGGGGGGCAGGAGAGAGGGGAGGAGCAGAATTGGAGAGAATATCCCACTTCTACCATGTGAAGAACCCAGCGGTCCGAGGTTAATTGGGACCAAGCATGGTAGAAGTGGGACAGATGGTTCATGAAATGGGGAAGGCTCTGGTGCTGAGGCAGGGGCATCATCCTCGGGTGCACCTTCAAAAGACCTGCTTTGAGTCTGATGATGGCTTGGTCAGGCCCTGGCCCTGCCTGGGCGGGGGATGGGAAGGCTTGGAGGATAAGGGCATTGCTGCTGTGGTTGAGGCTTAAAAGGTTTGCGTTGGGTTTCTGGGATGTGCATAGCCAACAATGTCATAGTCGCCTGGGAGTCCTTTAGGCTGTGCAGCCTGGAGTCCATTTGCTCCGAAAACAACCCTGCCCTGTCAAACGGCAGGTCCTGCAGGGTTTGCTGCACTTCAGGGGGCAATCCAGATGATTGTAACCATGAGCCCTGTCTCATGGCTATTCCGTAGGAAAGGGTGCGGGCTGCAGAATCCGCAACATCTAGTGAGGCCTGCAAAGAGGTCTGTGCCACTGCCTTTCCTTCATCAATAATAGCCACAAACTCGGCTCTGGAATCGGGTGGAATCAGCTCCTTAAACGTCAACATGGAGGCCCACGAGTTGAAGTTGTATCTACGGAGGATAGCTTGTTGGTTGGCTATCGTCAGCTGCTGGCCTCCCATTGAGTAGACCTTTCTGCCGAAAAGGTCCATTTGCTTTGACTTTGGAGTCGGTCCCTGCTGCCCTTGTCTCTCCATCTCGTTAACTGCAGCCACTACAAGGGACATGACTGCGGGTGTGAGAACAGGCACTTGTACCCTTTAGAGGGCATGAAGTATTTACGCTCTACGCCTTTAGCAGTATGCGGGATCAGGTTTGCCACAGAGTCTTAATGTTGCTCTGAATTGTTTTTATCAGGGGCAGAGCTACCCTGGATGGCCCCTCTGGTGCCAAGATGTCCAATGGGGCCCTCAGGTTCCACTACTTCCTCCGCCTGCAACCCCATGCTGCATGTGATCCTCCGCAGTAGGTCCTGGTGAGCTCTGTGGTCTATCGGGGGCGGACCCGAGGTAGATGCACCTGCCACCGCCTTGTCCAGGGACGAGGATGATGAGGCCAGAGGTGGCCCGGGGTCCTCC